CAAAATGAAATTAGACCCCTATTTCTTGCCATGCACAAACTCAACTCAAAGTGGATCAAGGACCTAGGAATTAAACCAGAGACACTGCACCTATTAGAAGAAAAAGAAGGCCCAAATCTCTATCATGGGATTAGGCTCCAACTTCCTTAATAAGACTCCTATAATGCAAGAATTAAAATCAAGAATCAATAAATAGGATAGATTCAAACTAAAAAGCTTCCTCTCAGCAAAGAGTAAGTATTTTTAACTCTAATATTGAAGCCATCAAAATCTTATTTATAAATTTGTTAAAAAAGAACAGAAAACATCTGATATCTTTATTGAATTTCAGAAAATGATATCTGATTTTTGTGGTCTTTTAACTTTGGGCTACATTCACACCTATTAATCTGAACCATCCTTAAACCTCCACATAAAATTGGCATAGGAAGGTCTGGTGGGAGTGAGGGACAGCTTTGGGAAACATTCCAAAACATTCCTACCTTCCATCAGTTTCATCTGATCCTTCAATGTCAAAGCGTAGTTTTTTCAGTGGTTTAGGAGGGTTGCTTCCTTCAGCACTTCTTTTGAGCACACGGTCACTGTTACACACCATCTGATTTATTTTCTGGAACTTCTCAGAAGTCTACAAATTACATAATTCTTTATTGTAAATCACTTAATGTCAGCATTTTGAAGTTAGCATCTATTAACCATAGTCTGAGGTGTGTAAAAAAATTAGGCAGAAGTACATCTTTTCATTTTAACTTTCTGCCTTATTGGACCAAATAAAAACATTTCAGAATAAGTATACCAATTCTTGTCCATTAAATACCCACCCCTTGTAAATTCTCCTATTTTTTTTCCCCACAAGGTTCCTACTGTTCTTCTAACAAATCTGATTACTAGTCTGAATGCCTTGGCTCCTTGTTTTGAGAACTCACCCGCAAAGTTGGGCAGCTTTCTGGAACGCTTTTTTTTTTTTTTAATATATTATGCTTACATTTTTTTAATACCTTTATTTATTTATTTTTATGTGGTGCTGAGGATCGAACCCATGGCTTTGCACGTGCTAGGCAAGTGCTCTACCGCTCAGCCCCAGCCCCAGCCCCTGGAACTCTTTTTTGACAGAGGATTTTTAGGATATTTGATATTAAATAACAAGAAAGAAGATCACAAGAATATGATAAGCATGATATGTTCAGCAAACAATAATTTTTAATTTATTTTATGGGCATTAGATTGACAAGTCATATAGTTTATATATTTAAATCACCACAGGTATGGTATTTGTTGAAATACTGCTAATTCTCAAAATTTAAAAAATAAACAAATATCAAAAAAACTTCAGATTTTGAGTTCCGTAAGTATTACTGGAGATAATTTGAGATATCTCTGGAGGGAGAATACTGTCAAGACAAAGCAAAAAAAGCATTGGGAAAAAGTATCAAGTGGGCACATGACCTTATTTTATCCAATGGACAAATATGTGGAAAAAATATATTACTTAGCTATCAATTTTAGAAACAAAATGAGGTGAATGTCTGAGATGTATATTAACATGTTTACTTAAACTAAAAAGAAAGATGTAGCCAAACTTTCTGATAGAAATTAAATCTGGTTTAACTGGTAGATTTGACAGTAGAATTAGCTTTGCGTTTGTTTTATTTTCCAAAAATCAAGTGCAAAAGTAGGTTTTGATGGAAAATATACTTAGAGCACTCGATGAGCCCCTCTTTTTAAGATTTTTAGTTACTAACTTTAAACTATGGAAGTATATACAATATTTTCTCAGTGATTTTTAAGAGGTATGGCAAGCAAAGAAGTTTGAAGACCTCAATTTTATAGCCATCCAGCCCCAACCCTACTCGAACGTTTCCACATCTCCCTTGTGATGTGCAGCCTATCTTAAACTAAATGCCACAGCATTGAATATTTACAATGTATATTTAGTACTTGGTCATTTAGTATATAAACTTTTACCTATCTCTAGTTATTTCATTTGGGGAGTGTGGTCAGCAGCCTCTCAAGTGACTCCTAATGATTTCCAGTTCATGGTATTCATACCCTTATATGATCCTCCTCTCCTTGTGTGGGTTGGGCTTATAACCAAAATAATATGACAAAAGTGATGGAATGTCATTTTCAATATTAGGCTGGAAAAATACTAACTTCMATCTTGCTCTTAAAGCCTTTGCTCTTGGGCTCTGGGGCATATTTACAGCTGCTATATGATATGAATGAGCACAGTGGAGGATCCCAAGTGGCAAGGAACTGACAAGTTTGGCCCAAAGTCATCAAGTATCAGCTTACAATTATGAATGACTTTGCCAGAAGATGCTCCTTCAGTTGGGTCTGGAGCTGACTACAGCCCCAGCTGACAGCTAGATCAAAATCTTATGAAAAAGTTCAACTAAGTGAAGCCTAGATTACTGACTTGCAGAAGTGAGATAAATGTTCCTTTAAGTCACTAATTTTGAGGGTAATCTATTTTTCAACAATAAATAATATAAGCACTCTTCCCATTCCTCTAGAATACAAGTTCTGTGGAGGGCAGGATGGTGCAACATACTGATAACACACTGACTGCTGAATTAGTGGTGCTCCACTAGAGATGTTAATGGAAGCCAAATAGAGTAGTGGATTCTCAGCCTAGAATAACTGTTCCAAAGCTAAGCTTTCATTAGGACTACCATAAGCCCTGCCAATTTTACTGGGGAAAGTCTTATATATTACCAATTCCTAATAAATATACCAGAGAAAGAATAGCCTGGAAGTCTGAGAGGAAGAAGCATCCAAGAGTGAGTTTATATGTGTGTGTATCAACATGTATAAGGAGATCAGGATGGTGACATCTGGATATGGTGCTTCCATTTTGGAGTATCTCATTTTAAACCATATTCATATAACTGATTTCCAAAACTGTTTCGTAACCACTCCTCTGAGATTATATACATACACATGTGGGAACACAAAATGATATTTGGTCTTTCTCTTGCTTAGGAGAACAGAGTTCCTAAACTCTTGGAATTTCCTGAGTGACAAGGATGATAGGACCATCTTTTGTTCTAATGAAGTGATGCTTGTTGGGCCCCTAGGTAGCTTCAGGATGGGGGTTTGTTGCCAGAAAGACCCAGCCTTGCTTAGTAACTTAGAACTTCCAGAGGGTGGGGAGAGGAGCTGAAGATTGAATTAGTGAACTATGTCCATATAATGAAAACCTTCCCCTATTAAAATCCTTCAACAACAGAGTTGGCAGAGCTTTGGAGCTGGCAACTGCACAGGGACAGAAGGTTCTTGAGCTAATGACACTTCTGGACCATGCCCTAAGTACCTATTCATATGGCTGCACATCTGTATCCTTTATAATAAACTGACAGTAATAAGTAAAGTGTTTTCCAGAGTTTTTTGAGCAATTCCAGCAAATGATAAAATCTGAAAGGGGGAAGTGTTGTAGGAACTCCCTGATTTTTAGCCAAGTTGGCAGAAGTGTGGTGTAACCTATAGACCTGACACATGTGACTGGCATCAGTCTTATGGGACTGAACTTTGAACCTATGGTGTCTGATGCAAACTCTGGGTAATCAGAGTCAAAACTGGATTGAGGCTGGGTGCAGTGCGATATTAGTGGCAGACATCTGTAATCCCAGAAGCTTTGGAGGCCGAGGCAGGAGGATTATGAGTTCAAAGCCAGCCTCAGCAATGTAGTTAGGCCCTAAGCAATAGTGTCTCTAAATAAAATATAAAAAGGGCTGGGGATGAGGCACAGTGGTTAAGTGCCCTTGGGTTTAACCCCTGGTAAAAAACAAAACTAAACTGAATTGAATTGTAGGACATCAGTTGTGTACAGACAGTTGGAGAACAGGTGGGTTTGAGGAAAAAAAACCCATTTGGTGTTAGAAGTATTATGAGTTAAAATAGTTCACAAATATATGTACATATATGAGTTTATCTATATTATATAATCCCAGAGGAATGTTTATAAAACAGTTTTGAGCCAGGCATGAGGTGTACATCTGTATTCCCTGCTATTCAGGAGACTGAGGCAGGAGGATTGCAAGCCTCAACAACTTAGACTCTGCCTAAAAATAAAAAATAAAAATGGCTTGGCATATAGCTCAGTGGTAGAGTACCCTTTGGTTCAAGTCCCAGTCCTGGAAGGAAGGAAGGAAGAAAGGAAGGAAGGAAGGAAGGAAGGAAAAAAGAAGGAAAGATGGGTGGGTATAGGGAGTGGGTAAGGAAGAAATACATATGGAGAGAGGGAGAAAATGAGGGGACAATTTTGAAGTTCACTTCAAATTTTGAATATGATTCGATATTAAAATCTGCGATAAATATAAATTCCATTTAACATGCTTGGATGAAGTACTTAAATAACAGCATTTGTAAATTCAAATTAAAGAAATCTTTAATTTCCTTTATAGTTATAAGTTGTAGAGAGCAGTACACAGATACTCCACTACAAGAACACCAAATAAAGGATGATACAAGGGCATACAAGAGCACTTGTGGCATACTGCCATTTTTTTTACTTAATATTTTGTGCCATTATACTTTGTTAGAAGAAAATACTCACCCCAAATGATTCACCAATTGACACTAAGATTCTGTCAAATTAAGATGAAATATAAATTAGTAACAGAAAACATACACAGATTCTGCAGATATGCAGAGATGAACATATACATATCATTCTAAACTATCAGGAACACAAATCAAAGGTTTTCTCTACTCTAGAACCACTAATAAATCACTTTAATCAGAGACTTATTCTAATAGTGACTCAGTCTCTTTTAAGTTTTTTTTTTTTGTGTGTGTGTGTGGTGATGAGGATTGAATTCAGGGCCTCATGTATGCTATGAATGTGCTCTATTGCTGAGATACATCCTTAGCCCTCGTAAGTTTTTTTTGAAAGTAAAAAAATTTTAGGATACTTTGTTCCACTGTCCATACTTAAAAAGGGTAAAAGAAAGTTTTAAGTTTACCCTTACTTAGTTCTTCATAAATCAATGGACAAATTATCAAACTTCTTTCAAATTTTTCATTTAAAATTAAAGTGACATTTGGCAAAACTTTACAGTATTAAGTAACAATCAAAATTCTAATATTGAGATGTAGTAAAGGTTATTTATTATGTATCCCAGAATCAGAAATCTCCATTAGTCTGTTGTCTTTGTTTTGAATACATGATTTATGTTCTTGATAATAAAGCTGCAGAACAGCTTTGATCTAACATAACACAGATTTAAAATATATACATGGGGGCTGGGGTTGTAGCTCAGTGGTAGAGTGCTTGCCTTGCACACGTGAAACCCTGGGTTCGATCCTCAGCACCACATAAAAATAAATAAATAAAAATAAAGATACTGTGTCTATCTACAACTAAAAAATATTTTTAAAAATATACACATGGAACTAATGGCTATGTAGATTTTATTGTTCTCCATTTTCTTGATAAGTGGTCATCATTCTATTCGATTAGCCAGAATACCTAAATAGGCTACATAAATAGAGTGTTAAGATATTACTTTCTTAATGCCCAATCAATGATTTATGGGTTAGGATATTCAGAATGTGACTTTTTTACTAAAGAAAAACAATACAAAACATCATGGTTGAAAACTACATAAGAATATATTTTCATGTGGCAGCACAAGACTGTGTAAATTTACCTAAATAGACATGTTATCTTCACAGTTTATAATGTAAGCTGTAGATATAAGTACATGGATTTTCAATTATCAAGTGAATAAAAGAAAGATACAGAGGTACACAGGAGCACTTATCATATTTTCAATTATTTTTTTATTTCATGCTTTACTTTAGAATTTGAAATTTTTATCAGGTGTGCATTACTCATGTAATTAAACCCACCACATAGTTATTTCTAAACAGTTAATATAGCCCCTTCTCCTTTTTTTATTTTTCTTGCCCATTAGGTACAACTATATAGGTTGACCATTTCTGAGATGAGACTACATTAAATATATTAGCTAATCTGCCTCCTACTTTATACAAGTAAAGTCAGTTTCTAATAGCCCATGATAACATATAATTATTCAACTGAAGAACTTCAAAGCCAGAGAGAACTTATGATTGGATTGGAAGATAATATAATGATTTATAGTTATACAGAAGCTTTCAACTGAKAATTTAAAACAACTTTGCACTTATCACTTCACTGATCCATAGCACCCTTCTAAAGTAGAGAGAGATCTGCCCAAAGTAATATAAAGAGGCCACTGGCAGAGTTAGGGATGGGCCTCTAAAGACTTAATTGACAGTCATCTATATTTAAAGTCATATCCATGCAAAATGAACAAGGTCTTCAGACAGAGTTCACAGGAAATCCAGTAAACTGTAAAATAAAAATTTTTAACCTGAAGAATTTTTAATCTGAATCTACTTTGTTTCTCATGTTGGCTACTTGTAAAAATATCAAAGTGTTTTGAAATGTACATACTGGTTATCAGATATTCACAAAAGAAGACACTAAACTAAAGTTGATGACAAAATTTTCAAACCCATCCAAGTAAACAGATTTCCACCCCCTAAATTCTTGTCATGTTGCTTAATATAAAAAAGCAAATTAGAAATTCAAGAGTCTAGCTTACTTTAAACAAAGAAAGCTTTACATTATTCTTTAGCTTATTTTAAACAAAGAAAGCTTTACATTATTCTTGGATCAAAATTATCCCCTTACTTCTTATCACTTTCCTAAAGAGAAAATACCAACCTTGATCTTGGAGTCATTTTTGTTGGTGTTGGCAGACCTTCTGAAATTTTATATGGACTCTTCAGGGGTGATATATAGATGTTCCCCCCAGGAATCCGTAAGGGTGAACTAGAAAACTTGTAAGGGCTTCGAGGAATGTGAGGTATTGGTGACAAGGTAGGAGGCTAGAGCAAAAACAAGAAGCAGGTTATTTATTTAATGTTGTAATAAGATCCATTACTTTATAATTAGATTTCCCCAAAGGATAATTTAAACATACCCTCGTGGAAGCATACTGCAAAATATTTGTTTTCAGTCTCTGCATGAAAACTGAATTATAGAATACTATAATGGAATCATACTCCTCTTCTCTGATCAAAACACGTTTGAATGTCTGAGGAAGAATAATAAAAACACTTATTAAGAATTTTTCTCTTCAGATTTTCTTCCTTAATAGTTTGTAATACTTTTTTAACTAGTAAGTAGTATATATTATACAGAAAAAAATAATCTGAAAAAGCCTTCTTAGGCTTGGATTCTGTATGCTCAACTAGAAGTGGAATGTCCCAGAATGATTCAGAGGGTAACTACTAGTCAGTACATGGAACAAACAAACATCCCCAAAGACAGAAGTGGACAAGCTGACAGGGTGGAAAGCTTTATGGGAAGCAAAGATCAGAGCTGATCAAAAGACATCAATATTTCGACTATATTCTCTGTACCTCCCTGATCCCCAACATCTAAAAGGTTCAAGAAGTGTACATTATTCCATTGCAAGAAGTAGACATTTAGTAAAAGCACTATTTCTTTTTTGACTGCTAGATTTTACTTAAATTTTAGTTCAGAAAAACCACAGGATTTTATAGAATGCCTCTGAAACACACAATTAAAATGACTGGATTTAAAAAATAATTGCTCATGATAACATATAAATACATAAAAATAACCTGGTCTGTATTACTTCTGAAAACTCCAATATTAAGCTGGAAAAAGTACTCACTTATCATAGGAGGGTATGAAATGTATGTCACATCAAGTGTATTTTATTAATACTACTTGCCTACAGGGGAGGTAAACTAGAAGCACAAAATGTGTTTACAAGGAAAATTTTCATTATTTCTTTATAAGGCTGCATTTACACTGGCATTTCCTATAGAGTAATAAAAATAACATCTAATATCCTATTTACTTACATCAAATTTATTACAAATGTCTTGCTTACTGCACATAGTATTATTTATTAAGTTAAATAATGAATTTAGATGATTTCAAAATCTGCCTTAGCTTTCCAATTCCATTTTAGTTACAGATAATCGGTAATATAAAATAAAAAATTTGATTTGTGAATTTACACAATGTCAGAATATATAATCTCATTAATGACTTAAATTATCTATATTATAAATATGGATTTATTTAAAAAAAATCTTACCATGAAAGATTACCTACCTCTTGAACAGCATGAGGAAGATCCTTGTATGCTGTTACAATGATTTTGAATTTAAGGTCTATATTCTTCACTTTGCATATGCCATACATAGAACACATCATAATCTAATAAATAAATGAGATGTAAAAGTACAATTTAATTACATCTTTCGGTTAGCTTCAAAAGAGGGAAATCTAATTTCTATAGGGTTATTTTATTTTCATCCTAAGCTCCATTTGAAAGTCTATGTAAAATGTTTAGCCCAAACTGTATTTAAATAACAAAATGCAAATAACCAACTTTCAATTATTCAGGACTGATTATCTGATTGGTAAATTACATTAACTTTGGCTCTTGTTCTTTAATTTTTCCCCAGCAGTGTTGAAACTGGAATCGGTTAATTGTATAATTACCACTTAAATTTAAAAAAAAAATCAGGTATGAAAGTTTCAAAGCATTGGATAAAATGTTTTATATATGTGGTGTTGGTATGGAGGAACTGGTGACTGGAAGGCAACAAAAGAGAGACTTTTGAATTGTTGGTCATGTTCTGTTTCTTTTCATTAGCATGACTCCTTTTGAGAGATGGATTTTTTTATATGGTATTTCAATAAAAGATATTTTCAACAAAATATATTTTAAATGCAAAAATAAGATTTGAAAATGACTTTCTGTGACTTTAAAACATCACATTTTCTTAATCTGCATGAACTTTCTTGTCTAATTTAAGTATGTATCACTTCTGCAACATTTTGTTCACATCCACTATTATCAAGAATACCTAATCACCATCCCTTGCTCAGCATCTTACCAAATCTGAACTTACTATTCCTTTCACTTACAATGCCATCAATGTATCCTTTTTGCCCATTCACATTTTTCTTTTTTTTGATACTTGGCCTCAGCAACTTAGTGAGACCCTGTCTCAAAAAAAAGGGGGGGCAGTGGTAGAACACCTTGGGTTCAATCCTCAGTACCACCACCGCCCCCCCCCCAAAAAAAGAAAGAAACAAAACAAAAAAAGGAAAACATAACAAAACTATTCACAAACAAAAGCCCTAGCCAAAACGGCTTTGCTGGAGAATTCTATCAATATTTAAAGAAAACTTAATAATAATTCTTCACAAACTCTTCTGAAATTAGAAATGTTCCCAAGTAATTCTATGAGGCTAGTATTTATTTCTCTGATACCAAAACTAGATAAAGATATCATATGAAAACTATAAATGCATTTTCTGATTATACATGTAAAAGTTCTCAGCAAAATTATAGCCCAGACAAACTGAATCCAGAATCATATCAAAAGGATTATGTATTGTGACCAAGTGGGATTTATTCCAGAAATGCAAGATGGGTTTAACATTTGATAACAAATTAATGTAATATACCATGCCAGTACATTAAAGGAAAAAATCTCACATCCAATAGATATAAAGAAAGCACTTGACAAAATCCAATACCTTTTCATGATAAGAGTATTCAAGAAACTAAGATAAGAAGGAAACTTTCTCAATCCATCAAAAGGCATATTAAAAACACACAGAGACACACACCCTTCCAGGGCACATCCCTATGACCTTTCTCCAACCATGCTCCACTGCCTACAGTTTCCAATACATCCCTATAGTACATTCAATTATCAATGGATTAATTCACTTGTGAAGTCAGAGCATTCATGAGCCAATCACTTCCCCCAAAGCACTGGGGATTGAACCCAGGGCTGTTCTACATGAGCTTGACCCACTCCATCTCCCTATTTTAATTCTGAGGCAGGGTCTTACGAAGTTGCTGAAGCTGGCCTGGAATTTTTCATTCTCTTGTCTCAGCCTCCCAAGTAACTGGGATTACAGGTATATACCACCATACCTAGCAACAACATAGTTAATGTCTTCCTCTAATATCAAGAACAAGACAAGGATATGCCCTCTTAAGCCATTTCCATTCAACCTCTAGGTTCTCGCCAGGGAAATCCAATAAGAAAATGAAAGGCATTCAGATTGAAAAGAAAGATGTAAGACTATCTCTATGCACAGATGACATGATCTAATATATAAAAAGTCTTAAGGAATCTACTTGAAAATTATTAGAACTAATAAAGAAATTTAGCAAAGTTGAAGGATACAAAAAGAAATATACCAAAAATCAATTATATTTCTATATACTTGCAATGAATGATCCAAAAATGAAATTAAGAAAATATTTCATTTATAATAGTATTAAAAATAGTAAAATACTTGGGAATAAATTTAATAAATACTCTGAAAATTACAAAAACATGTTATAAAACAAAAAGATCCAAATGAATGGAAACACATCACATGTACGCGGACTGGAAAACATGCTGTTAAAATGACAATGCTCCCCAAATTGACTTTAAATTTAATGCAATTTCTTTCAAAACCTTCTTTACAGAAACTGACAAGCCAATCCTAAAATTTATATGCAAATACAAGCTTCAGAATAGTCAAATCAATTTTGAAAAAAAATATATGTATGTTCCCCATACTTCCTTATTTCAAAATATTACTACAAAGCTAACTTAGTCAAGGCAGTGTAAACCAGGCATCGTGGCACAGATCTTTAATCCCAGAGACTATGAGAGGCTGAGGCAGGAGGATCACAAATTCAAAGCTAGCCTTAGCAACTTAGTGAGATCCTGTCTCAAAAAACAAAAAAAACAAACTGGGGATGTAGTTCAGTCATAAAGTGCCCCTGGATTCAATCCCCAGTACCAAATATATATATATATATATATATATATATATATATATATATATATATATATATATATAKAGAGAGAGAGAGAGAGAGAGAGAGAGAGAGAGAGAGAGWGTGTGTGTGTGTGTGTGTGTGTGTGTGTGTGTGTGTGTCAGTCCTGGCTTAAGAATAGCTCTATAAATCAACAGAATAGAATTTAATGTCCAGAAAACACTTGAACAGTTGTAACCCATTGATTTTTAGATGCTGTCAATGGGGGAAAGAAAGAACTTTTCAAGAACTGGTGTGGTTGAGGATAGGACCGGGAGAATAGCTTAGCAGAGCACCTGTCTAGCATATATGAGGTCCTGTGTTCAATTTCTAGAAGAAGGAAGAAAGGGGGTAAGGAAAAGGAAAGGAAGAGAGATGAAAGAATGCTGGAATAACTAGTATTCTATAACAACAACAAAAAAATGAAGTTGGATCTCATACTACTTGTTATGGTTCGGCTCTGGAAGGTCCCCCAAAACTCATATGTTGAAGGTTTGGCTACCAATGCTGCAATGCTCAGAGGTGCGGGAAGTGATTAGATCATGAGAGCTCTGACCTCACCAATGGATTAATCCATTGACAGCTGAATGGAGGTGTTGGAAACTGTAGATAGTGTGGCATGGTTGGAGGAAGAAGGTCACTGGGGGCATGCGCTGGAACAGTTATTTGTTGTTCCCAGCTCCTTCTTCTCCTCCTTCTTCTTTTCCTCTCTCCTTCCTGGCTAACATGAGCTAAGAAGTTTTCCTTCTCGGTGCCTTTCTGCTACAATATCTTGCCTCACTCAGGCCTTTCAAAGCAATAGAATTCACCATCCATGATCTGAAACCTCTGCAACCATGAGCCAAATAAATCTTTTCCTCTTTAAAGTTGTTTTTTTCAGGTACTTTATTCACAGTGACAAAAAGATAACTAATATACCAGCTACAAAAATTAGTTCAAAAGAACCTAAGTGTAAAAGCTAAAAATGTTTAAACTCTTAGAGGAAAATAGGGATAAATAAGTCATAATAACCTCAGATTTGGCAATAGACCTAGTAATAAAAGAGAAAAATAGATCAATTGAACTTGATCAAAATAAAAACTTCTGTGCTTCAAAGGACACCAACTCATAAAATGAGAGAAAGTGAAACACAACTCAGAATGAGTGAAAATATTTGCAAATCATATATCTCATAATGAACTTGGGTGTAGAATATATAAAGAATTCTTGTAAGTCATTAAGAACAAAATAAATAATCTAATTTTAAAACACATAAAGGCTGTAAATAGACATTTCTCTAAAAAAGATATACAAATGACCAATCAACACATGAAAAGATGCTAAACGTCATTAGCTATCATAGAAACGCAAGTCAAGACCACAATGAGGTACCACATCAAACCCACTGCCATGGCTATAATAAAAAAGGTAAGTTAGTAAAGACAGAGAGAAATCTGAAACTCATACATGACTGGTAGAATGTAAAATGGCACAGCCACTTTGGAAAACAACCTAGCCATTCCTCAAAAGGTCAAACAGAGTTATAATATGATCCAGCAATTTCACTCTTAGATACATACTCAAGAGAACTGAAAGTATATGTCTATATGAGAATTTGTACATGAATATTCATAATAATACTAGTTATAATAGTCAAAAACCATGTCCATCAATTAATGAATGATAAAAATGTGGTTCAGATTCATAAAACAGAACATTATTTGGCAATAAAAAGGAATAAAGACCAATACAAATTATAACACAAATGAACATTGAAAACATACTAATAAAATAATTCAAACACAAAAAATCACATATTATTCCATTTATACAGAAATATCCAGAACAAATCTGGAGACAGAAACTAGGTTAGTGTTGCTTAGGGCTGAAGAAGTGGGGGTTGGGGGGGTGGTTTATTCCTGCAAGATAAGGGGGTTTCTTTTTGGTGTGACGAAAATGCTCTAAAATCTCTTCTTCCTGGTTGCCATATCCTGAGCTGCTTCCCTCTACCATACCGTTCTTCCATGATGTTCTGTTTCACCTTGGGCCCAGAGCTATGGAGTCAGATAACCACAGGCTAAGAACCTCTGAAACTGTAAGCCAAAATACTCTTTTCTTCGTCTACATTGTTTTTGTTGGGTCTTTCGGTCACAACAATGAAAAAACTGACTAAAACAGAAATTGGTATAGAGAAGTAGGGTTACTGCTGTGACTAACCTGACCATGTGATTCAGAAGCCTTTGGATCTGGTTTATAGGAATTTTGGAAAGTTTAGAGATGCAAGTTGGAAAAGCTTTATAATGTTGTAAGTGGAGCTTAATGGGTGATTCTGGTGGGAGCGAAGAAGACCAGAATGCCAATAGGACTGTGGACAATAAAGTTTGGACTCATTAAGTCTAAAAAGWGGAGGAGTCTATTGGAAATTGGACTAGAGGCCATTCATGCTTTGTCTGGCAAAAAAGTTGTCTACATTTTGCCCATGTCCTAAGACTTTCTGCAAGGCTGAATTTAAAAATGATGTATTAATTAATCTGGTGAAGGAAATTTCCAGACAGCACAGCATGAATATTGCTGGTGTTATTTATCCAAGTTTACTGTGATAATCAAGAGAAAAAAAGTAGAACGATTTGAAAAACTTTCAATTTGGTCAGAAAAGTCTGAATAAAACTGGAGCTAAGGAAGGTATGGTTGTTAAAGAACCACTAAAGAAATGTTAAGTATTTTATTCAGAAACAATAGGAAAGACAGCTAGAGCATCTCAAAAATTGGTAAGACCCATCTCAGGCTCAAGAATGTAAAAGTAAAATTTCCTTTGAGAAAAAGTGGGCACCCTACTTGAACATGTGGCCTAGGAAGTTGTTTCACTGTGCTCAGCCACCCAGGCACTCAGAGACTGCAGCTGTGGTCCCACAAAGCTTGGCTACTGGTGGCAGACCTTGGCTATTGGTGTCAACCATGTAGTGTTGATTTTGCAGAAAAGCAGGATGCTAGAGTTAGGGGTTCATAGAGGCTTCCACAGATATTTCAAAGGAAGGTTCTAGGAAGCCAAAGTCTAGCAGGGTCAGAATCCCTACAGACTACCTTTGAGAGGATGATGTGTGAAGATGTGAGAAGGAAGCTGAAGCTGCAGCGGAGACCCCTGAGATTAAAGATGCCAGCAATGTGTATCAAGCTGAGGAAAGCTGGAGGAATTAAGAAGAAATAAGCCAAGAAGAGAGGCTATGTGGGCTGYAACCAACAAGGCCATAGGGGCAACAGAGCAACCCATGCCTTTTGGAGAGAACTTTATGATACCATGTGCCCCCAAAGTTGGACATGTAAGTACAGGACTTGTTTGCCTAGATAGATTTTAGTTTTGCTTTGGTCCCACCACTTCTTTCTATGCCCTATTTCTCCCTTTTGGAATGGAAATGTTTACTCTGTGCCATTATTGTAAAGGATATATGTAACTTGCTTTTGATCTTTATTCTTCTTTAATATTCATTTTTTAGATATAGATGAATACAACGTCTTTACTTTACTTTATGTGGTGCTGAGGATGGAACCCAGTGCCCCATACATGCCAGGAGAGCGCTCTACCTCTGAGCCACAACCCCAGCCCCTTGATCTTTACTCTTACAGCTGAGTTTGCCTTGAGTTTCAGATCAGATATTAGACTTGGACTTTTGATAATGCTGGAACTGTTAAGATTATGGGAACTCTTGGAAATGGACCAAATACATTTTGAATGTGAGATGGGCATGAGGTTTGGCCTCGGCAGAATGTTATGGTTTAGACATAAAGTATCCTCCAAAAACTCATGTGTGAGACAATAAAAGAATTTTCGCTGGGAAAACTGTCAGGTTATGAGAGTTTTAATCTAATCAGTGGATAAATCCACAAATGTGGATTAACTGGGCGGCAAAGTAGGCAGGTAGGTGTGCCTGGAAGAAGTAGGACAATGAGGGTGTGCCTTTAAGGTTATATTTTATCCCTGATGAGTAGAGTTCTCTTCTTGGTTGCTATGTCCTGAGCTCCTTTCCTCCACCACACCCTTTTGTTATGATGTTCTGTCTCACTTTGGGCACAGAGTTAAAGGGTCAGCCAACTATGAACTGAGAACCTCTGAAACCATGGGCCAAAATAAACTTTTCCTCCTCTATGCTGTTCTTGTTCGGTCTTTTGGTCACAGCAATGAAAAAAGTTCACTAACTCACCCCTGGTTCCTATCCCACCAGTGTTTGACAAGCTCTAATCCACTTTCTGTCTCTATATTTGCTTATTCTATACATTTCATATAAATACAATTATATGGTCAAAAAAGTGCTCTAAAATGAAACAACTCAAAACAGACTAAAAAACCACTGAATTGTGCACTTCTAATGGGTGATTTGTATACATAAATTATATTGATAAGCTATTACCCCCCTCCAAAATATTGTTCTTTAACCCATTTTAAGAGATGGAAGGTGGGTGTGGTGGCGCACACCTGAAATCTCAGTGACTTGGGAGGGTGATGCAGGAGAATTCAAAGTTCAAAGCCAGCCTCACCAACTCAGTGAGGCCTTAAACAACTCAGCAAGACCCTGTCACTAAAAAAATATAAAAAGGGGCTGGTGATGTGGCTTGTGGTTAAGCACCTCTGGGTGAGAGAGAGAAAGTGGGGAGAGAGAAAGAGATATGAAAAAGGAGGACATAAGAAATAATTATGTTTATAAACTTCATTCATTAAATAGGCACTGCTTTAGATCAAACAATTTTAAGTTTCATGCTTTTTCTACACTAAAATGAATCTAGCTTACTAAAACACAAAAAGCTGACAATAAACAGGTTCTTCAGTTATTTTTCAAAAGATAAGAATGTATCACTAAATAAGTAGTTATAGACATATACTCTTGAACTCTAAAACTCTAATTTGTAAGGATTATAACAAAAATATAAATGGCAGCCAGCAAGCGAATATATAAAATTTACTAAGTTAATCAATTTTCTTATTTCAATCCTATCTTGTTTATTTATTTATTTATTTAAAGAAATCAGTACACAGTTGAATAAGTAGAGAGAAGAAAAGGCAAAGTGTTCAATTTTCTTACTTGATCCAAATGCCTATCTCTCATGAGTTCATACTCATTTTGCAATGTATGCTGGAAAAGGGTCCAGATGATGTGTTCTAGTTCTGGGTGATCAGACAGAAGGCGTGCACATAGGGTATTTAGTCGGAGATATGCTAGCCGGTACACTGCAAAAGTAAGGGGAAATGAACCATATTTACTGTTCATTTTCAATCACAAGTAGACTTTTAAAAAATCATTAATTTGCTATATCATTATTCTTTTTAAATAGCAACTTAACAGTAACCTCACCTCTACCACTATTTTCTTTATGAATAAATAATTCCTATTAATAGCACAATAGAAGGCACAATACTAGGAAGGCACAATACTTGATGAACAACTATTATATTATAAAACTAAGGCAGAGGTAGAAGGTAGAGGAAGATAGCCCATAAGATATTGTGAAATTAGACAAACCAAATAGAATTTGCTTCCATTCTGTTGGTAATCACTCATCACAGATGTTGGAAATTCCTACTATCAATAGTCCAAGAGGGATAATTATTTTAAAAATAATGGCATTGTCAGTGTTTACTAATTTTTCTAATCCTAAAAGAAAAAATCAAACCACGTTTCATTATAAAATACCAACAAACTCTTGAAAAATGGTAGATGTGTATATTATTGAAGTAGAGCACAACTGTCATTCGAAGTTTATTCAGAGTCTATTAAAATATTATTGGAAATACAGGTTTAGAGAAAAGGAGTTGACAAAACTGAATTTTTGTCTGTTTTAAATACAAAGAGTCTTGGTTTAAGATGGGTCTTTAAAAACTTGCATAGGTAAACAAAACTTTTTTTTAAAATTTCTTTTAGTTGTAGTTGGACACAATATTTTTATTTTATTTATTTTTATGTGGTGCTGAAGATGGAACCCAGTGCCTCACACAGGCTAGGCAAGTGTTCTACCACTGAGCCATAACCCCAGCCTCAGGTAACTTTTTAAAGTTAACCATTTGTCCTGGGTGTTTTAAAACTTGAGCATATATTCTACTTGCCTAGAGTGTTCTAGGACCCTATCCTAGAATTTCTGGTTGAGTAGATACAGGTAGATCCCCAAATTATCATTTCTATAACTTTCCAGGAGACATGGATTCTGCTGATTGGGGCCTACCCTTTGAAAACCACTGCCCTAAGTCTTACAATGTTTGTATAAGTCTCAATATATTTTTGATTTGAATAAAATCAGTAAAAATTCTTATCACAGAGGAATCGGGTCTTTTAGTCTCCTTAAGAGGGCTCTAAGATGGTATGGACTTATATGTTTATATACATGTACACATATGCAAAATAAATTCCCCACCCCACCATATATATACATTCAATCAGAGAATATAATACAAACTGGTTACTAGACTTGTTAAATGTCCTAAAAATAACCAGGGAATGTGCTTGCACTGTCAGTAACACACAAAATAATCTCAACACTAAATATACCTGAATAGTAAAAGTAATATTTGGGCAAATATTTCTAAACATTAATTTGAAGGTATAACAATAGTAATGCAGCATTCCTAACATCAAAACTTTTCTGAATGCTATGTGGTAGGCCCTGTTAGAAGCATTTTATATGTAATAATTTATTTAATTATCCTGAAAACCCTACAAGGTAATTTTTATTCTTATTATAAGGTAAATTATTATTATTTTCTTTTCATTTTATAGATGAGGAAACTAAGGCATAAAGATATTAAGTGACTTGCTCAAGGTCCAACCAAGTAAGTTGAAGAGACAGGATTTGAACCTAGTCAGCCTGGTTATAGAGCCCATGCTCTTGAAAGTAATCTTCTACTAACCTTTTTTGTAAAAGAGTGAAAGGGAGGTAGATTTCAATGGCTTCTGAGTCTGGAAGGCTGAGTTTGCTTGTGTCTCTGCATTTGCAGTAGAATTTACACGTGTAGTTGAACCTTTTTTCTTTGGGGATCTTACAGGTGAAAGATACCTAGATGTATTCAAAAGAAAAAGTCCTCATTTGAAATTTCCTAAGAGTCATACACATACATACATGTTACACACATATACCTAGACACATCTTATGTATTTAATCTGTGGTTTTCTGTCAGTTTCCCCAAGCAGGCTATTTAAATACAAGTTGGGAACAATCGCTTAATAGGAAAACTATGTTCGTTATAGTATGTCTAACACTTTTAATAAGTGGCTTTCCCTGAAATTACTTATTGGGAAAACAATAGCTAGCTGTATATGCACAATTTTAACAGTAGTAGTGAGATTTAGTCCATAAAATAACTTCAGCTTAAAAAACAAGTTACTAATACCAGTGTTGTCATGTGTCTTTGATTCTCCTGCTAAATTTTTTTTTACTGATAACTATGATTCATGTACATGTTGACTTAAGTTATACACACACACACTCTCCGAAATTACCTAGCACAGAATTCTATGACTTAGTACTTCAAATAACATGATCAAGACAGATTTATACCTGTTTACTAAATATGCCAGGAATAAATCAAGGCAGGGATATCAGCAAATATTCTCTCTCAATTTATAGCAATTCTTTTGTTTTATATTATCCTCTATTTAATAGAATAATCCATGTCTATGCTTTTATTTTGTTTTGTTTTAATAGCAGAGAAATAACTCTGAAGAGGAAGTAGAATTTGTACCCTAATATGAGTATTTCCACTACATGCAGTATGTTAATTAGTGCAATAGGAAGAGACTCACCAGCACAATTTTATAAGTACCAGGGCCTGGTCTCTTATTCTCTTTGGTCTTCCTTTCAGTTTTTTAACTGAAAATTATAGACTAACTTAGGCAAAGTTAGTCTCCTTTGAGTCCTGATGCAAATATCCAACTACCTAATAATGGGTATCATTACTTGCATCTCAAACTTAATAAGGTCAAAGTAGAACTCTGGATTTCTTCTTCTCAGCTTTTTCTCATCTCAAAAAATGGCCACAYATTTTATTAATAAGTAAAAAACCTAGAATTTGTAATTATTTTAATTTCACTGTTTCCTAAGTTCCTCAAATCTGATATAAAACTCTGTAAAACTTATTAAGTATATCTCTAAATGCACCTCATATCTTTCTCATTTCTACCTTTAATGCTATATCTTAGACTAAGTCATCCATATCCCTCACTTGAACTACTGAAATAGTCTTCCAAATGGTCTTTCCACTTTCTTTCCTGTCCTGACCCTTTTTCTCCCCCAAACCCACCTGGTACTTCAAATAGCAACCAGACAGCGGTCCTTTAAAAATACAAATAAAACAAGTTGCATTCCTGCTAAATGGTTTCCCACCGCTCTTATAAAATCCAAACTGCTTACTATGGCCTGTGGGAACCTACAAAATCTAGACCTGGTCTGCCACTCCAACCTCACTGTGCACCATTCTCATACTCTCTATACCCCATGCATTATGGATACCATGCTAGTCCTCATGCCAGTCAAGTTCCATCTGCCCTACAACATGAAGATTTCTGCCTGCCCAGCATCCACTTGTCCCTCCGGTATCAGGTCAAAATATCACTTCATTAGAGAAAGAAAAACTATTCTGTTCGTTATAGTATGTCTAACTCTTTTAATATATACTATAATATAATTCTAAATATTCCATTGCCCTCTAGTTTCTCCTTCATATCACTTTATTCATTTCATTTATACCACTTATTATACTCTAAAATGGACTTACATGTTGGTTTACTTATTCACTGCTTCCTTCCTCCAGAACATAAAGCTCTATGAAGGAGAAAGACCATTTTACTTTTGTCTTCTCAGTGCCTACAATACTTCCTGGCATTTAACAGAACTATTTATTTAATTAAAGAAAAAAATAAAGCTTGATTTATTTATATAAAACTTGCCTAGCAAACAAATATATACATGAATGGAGAGTCTCTATATGCTAGGAACAGTTTGGATACAAGTTAGAATGAAAATGACACCTATGGAAAGTGGTTTCTATACCAATTGCATAACACTGTAATGTTGATTAATATACAGAACAGGTCCATAACATTAAGCACATTTCTATGAAAGGCAGTGTAGCTAGAGAAATTAAAAGCATGGGTTTTAGGGTCAAACTGGTTGGGTTAGATTTCTGTTGACCTTAGGCAAGTTACTTTATTTCTCCTATTTTATAGATAAATGAGGCAGACAGCGTATCTACTACCTTATAAGACAGGTATGAAAATTAAATGAAAAACATGAACATGAAGTACTTAGGTAACAGCCCAACACACACTAAGCCTTCTCAATACATGTTGGCTTTTGCTTTTTGCTCGTACCATCATCTTGCTCTAATCAACTGTTTCAGTCCATATCTCATACTACTCCTTAGATTTACCCCATGCTTCATCCAAAGGGACTGATCTATGTTCTCTGAAAAATGTTTCCTGCTAYTCTGGCTTTTATCAGTTCATGTCATTTCTGGCTCTTAGAACACTAGTCTGTCTCCTCTCACTTCCCTAATTTTGTGCTGAAATCCTATTCAATCCTTAAAGCCTATCTAAATTGCCATCTGTGCAATGAAAACTGCTCTCATTACACCAATCCTACATGATTCAGTAGCATTTTGTGTTCCTTCATATGACCGTATTTAGGTCATATATGTTACATTCCTAATTCTTAAAAGCAGTAACAATATCTTATGCAAAATTCTATTCTATACAACTTCTATATAGTGCCCTTATGCTCAAGACATATCTGCAATTTCAAAGGATGACATAATGTGTTCTACTTACATATCTGCTGCAGTGTGATTATTCTGGAAAGGAAGGTTGAGAGAACAAGCAGATTCAAGGTGATCAGCTGGTCCCTCTCGGTCCTTGGATTGTTTAATAAGTTCAAATAAAGGTGAGTCCTAATAAGGTTGAAACAAGATGACATTAAAACATTATTAGTTAAGTCTGATTTTCTCAGGTATGTATCGAAATCATATTGTTTGACATGTGAAGCACTAGGAATTTTAGGCACAACTAACAGTGGCAATTTAGAAGTTAGAATAGGATCATTTTCTCCACCCTTGAAATTCTCAATTACCAATTTTGTACTACACACATATAAAAAAGGAGTAGGAAAATGTATAACTTCAAATGCTAGTACAAATTGAATATCCCTTATTGAAATGCTTGAGACTAAAAGTGTTACAGATTTCAATTTTTTTAGAATATTTGAATATGTATAATGAGCTACTTGGGGATGAGACCAAGCTCAAAACTCAAAAAGCATTTAGGCTTCATATACATCTTTTGTTTAAAAAAAAAAAACATAGCCTGAAGTTAATCTTATACAATATGTTTAGTTATGTTTTGTCTGTGACCTATCATATGAAGTGTCATTATGTTGGCATTCAAATATTTTTGAATTTTGGGATGGGGTATAGTTCAGTGGAAGAGTCCTCTTAGCATATGCAAGTCCCTAGGTCTGATCCCTAGCACCAAAAGCATTTTTTTAATTTTGAAGCATTTCAGATTAGGGCTGCTCAAACTGCATTAGAAGTTAGGGAAAACTTTTCATCAAAGACTCAAAGAAGGAAATAATAAAGATAAAAGCACAATTTAATAAAACAGAAAACAAAGATAAAATAACACTGATCAACATAACTATCAATCTTTTCTTTGAAATAATTAATAAAATTAAACGAAYTTCCAATCAGAATGATCAAGAAAAAGAGTAACAGTACAGATAAATAGGATTAGAAATGACAAGTGGGACACTATCACACGCAAAGATTAGATAGATAATGGGAATGTTATAAATAAATTTACATCAAACTTAAAATATGTGGAAAAATCCTACAAAACATAAACTGATCAAAACTCAACAGAAAAGAAGTAAGTCCTACAACTACTGAATCAGTTATTAAAAATTCCCCCACAATGAAAAAGTCAAGTCCTTTGGGTTTTACCTAGAATTCTACCACTCAGAGGACTGATAATATCATTTTTACTCAAAATCTTTTAGAATGAAGTAGAGATATTCCTTATCTTCTTTTATGATGTTAGCATAACACTGACACTAAAACCCATCAAAGACATTACAAGTAAATTATACCCCACTTTCATTCATGAATAGAGATATAAAAATTCCAATCAAGAAGTATTAACAACTCAAATCAGCAGTGTTTGAAAGAAAATTCATTGTTACCAAGTTGACTTTTTCCATGTTGTAAGATTGGTTCAACATTAGAAAATCTACAATGCAATGCACCTCACTAAGGTAAAATATATTATCGAAGTAAATGTAGGRGCTGGGACATGATGGCATATGTCTATAATCCTATTTACTTGGGAGGCTGAGGCGGGAGAAGTGCAAGTTCCAGGCCAGCCCAGGCAATTTATAACCATACCCTGTCTCAAAACAAAAATTTAAAAAAGTATAAGGATATAGCACAGTATATAGTGCTCCTGGGTTCAATCCCCATAATAGGACAAAAAAATCAATACAAAAATATTCTCATTCAAAATATTTAATATTTTGTAATATTTAAAAAAGAAAAGAAAAAAGGTAGTAAACTGGGACAGAAGAGAATTTTCTAATTTGATAAATGACATCTACAAACAAAAACCCCATAGCAAATGTTATGTGCAGTGGTGAAACATTAAAAGTGTTCCCCTTTAAAAAAAAAAAAAGTCAATTAAAAGAAACCCATGTCTCATTCCTACTTAGCATTGAATTTGGGGGTCTCAACCAGTTAAATTAGGCAATGAAAAGAAATACAAGATCAAAAGACTGCAAAGAAAGAAACAACAAAATACCATTGTCCATAGATATTTGTTAGTATAGAAAACCAAGATAAATTTATAGAGAATAAGAAATATTAGCAATGTTGCTGTCATGATTTCATAATCAATAGAAGAAATATTACATTTCTATATAATCAAAAAAATTCAAAGTGTAATTTTTAAAATATCATTTACAAAAAATAAGACTGGCTGCAAAATCATTAAAAATACTGATTCAAAAACTGTAATTTCCTAGAGGTATATGATTGCCAGTACATAGAGTAGATTCCATAATAGAGGAGCTTTTAGTACTTAATTAAGAAAGATTTCTAAAAACAGACTTAAGTCAAAAATGGAAGTAAAAATATAAAATACTATATAACAAGTAGTTTTATTCAATATAAAGAAAGAGTAGTCTAATCAATAATGTGTTGGAAAAATCCGCTAACAATTTGAAAAAAAGTTAAATCATTACATTTTTACAAAATACACACAAAATCACTTTCTTTCATTAAAAAACAAAACTGAAAAAGTGTTAGAAGTAAATATAGGAGAAGATCATTCAAGTTTCTTGTTTATGAAGGACTTTGTGTAGTTGATGAAAATCCATAAATTACAATGAGAAATATAAACAGATCTGAATACATACAAATTGAAAATTTCTATATGACTAAAACCACAATAAATTAAGTTAAACTGAATCTTTAAAAGATAATGCCAGTTAAAGACTGCAAACTAAATGCATATAGTAACTCTCTCTTCTAAATCCCCACTAAAATGGCAATAAAGAAACTTATTTTAAAAGATATAAATCTAATGAACAACAAGAATGGAAGAAGAAAAATGAGATACAAAAATCTGAAACTGGAAAGCAGATGAACAAATAGTAATCTACTTGGTACATAAGAAAAAGTTGGATGGACCCAACAGTTTTTTACTTAAAGCCACTATACAAACCAAGTGAACTGCAAACCTTCCCAAAGGGTTTGGAAGTAGTGATACCAGATACTTAAAGCAGTGGGTCAAGAAGGGGAGCAATAAAGGAAGAACTGGATGGAAATCCACTGAAGAACAAGTTAGACTTTCAGATACTCTCATCCTTTTCACCTCTCTTTACTGATGGAAACAAACAAAAGAAGCCCAAAATGTTTATTATTTGGAGGGTGCAAAACATCATTCTCTGGATTGGGGGACTGAATCTAGGGAGGAGATAACATACTAAAAATGACAGGACAGGATTAATGAATATTGTATGTTCTCTACTGCTTCCTGTCTCCAGATTGTAGAATATTTGCAGCCATGATCATATCCCCCAAGCATGAAACCAGAAGAGTCAGAATGAGTAATATGATGAATCTAAAAGTCCTAAAGACATTAAATGTAGGTTTTTGGGTTTTTTTTAAGGAATTGTATTAGCAAATCATCACACAATTAAATCCCCCAACCCCATCTTGGTACTCAGAGCTTCTAGCTAATTTTTAATGATTTACTTTTTTATATATGTAGCAGTTAAATGTCTTAGGAAAGTCTCCAGTATGAAAGTGCCAAAACAAAACAAATAAAAAGCACCTTGAGAGACACATTTAAAGGGAGAAGAAATTTAAAAAGAAAAAGTAAGGCTAAATTATTTAACAGTAATAGGAAATTGGGTGCCTAAACAAGACATCTTAAACATCATTTTTCTTACTCTTCCTACTTACTCTCAACTCAAAACCACAAAAAGCACAAAGATCTCTTTTTCTTTTTTTTTAAGGTCAGTAATAGTAAAAACATAGGTTCTGGAATTAAAAAGATGTGAACTTAATTTTTCTGCAAAGCTTACTAGTGAAGTTTCTCTCTGAACCTCAGTTTCATAATCTGAAAAATAGGAATAACTGTACCCACTTTGTATGATTAAATGACATAACACCTGATGTGCCTTCACTGTAGCCACTTGGGCATTCAAGTCTTTTTTCTCCTTTCAGAGATGTGATGTTTATTTTATTTAAGTCTCAAATATATATATATATGAATGTGTTAAAGATGTGCTCTTGACTCTTAACTTTCAGGGAAAAAACATCTATTAAAATTTTATAGTCAGGTGCGGTGTACATCTATAATTCCAGAATTTCATGAGGATAAGGCAGGAGGATCACAAATGAGGCTAGCCTGGGTAACTTAATGGACACTGTTGAAAATAAAAAATTAAAAGGGCTGGGAGTAGCATAGGAGTACAATGTCCCTGGGTTCAAAACCCAGAACTGCTAATAATAATAATAATAGTAATAATAATAATTTACTTTTCCTCTCTAGATAGCAGCAAATAGATACTTGATAAATTTTGAATAAAGAGATGTGACAATCATACAGTTATTATTATATGTATCAGTGCAAAAGTTTGATGGTTTTCAACCCTTTTTCAGTTCCAGTGGATTAATAAAACATACGCTACCATTTGTTATAGCAGCCACTACAGAAATCAATCAATCAACAAGTACATGAAAAAATTCTCACCATCTCTAGCAGTCAGAGAAATGCAAATCAAAACCACCCTAAGATACCATCTCACTCCAGTAAGATTGGCAGCCATTATGAAGTCAAACAACAACAAGTGCTGGCAAGGATGTGGGGAAAAGAGTACACTTGTACATTGCT